AAACACTTTGAATTTCTTCATATATAAGCATATTTAAGTGTTAGTATATAATTTCCAGTCAGATCAAAGAAAGCATTATTCCACCTGCATGTCCTATTTGGCTTTATTCTTGTTTTTGTTTTTTTTTTTCCACAATTGAATTAAATATTGTTGAAAGTTAACTAGTTCTTCCTGAAAGTCTGCCAAGACCTTTAATTTAATAGCTGTGACATTATTGTCATATTCTTCATCAAGTGTGAATTCATTCACCATGAGCTAGCTTTGAAACAATGACAATTTCTACCACCTTTGACTACATTGTTTGGCATATGACAGAAAATTTTCTGTATATGAAGAAAAAAATGCTGAATTGTGCTATCATTTTGAAACATTTAAAAAAATGTTTAGGGGTCTCAACTTAAAACTCAATCCTGTTCTGTATCACACTGGCAAAAAGAAAAGAAAAGGAAAAATAATTAAGTCAGCAAAAAAACAAAATAAAATAAAGTCTATGGCTAGGTTAGCCCCTGGGTAGATTGTAAGAACTGCTGGTAACCCTCAGCATCTAAATATGTCACCTGGCACATTTTACTTGACACTGATTATAAGACACATTCAATGTTGGAAATTGTAATTTATTATAGAATGTGAAAAAATATCAGCTTTAATATCAATGTGTGGAGATAAGAAAAAAAATGAACATAGACAGTCTCATGCAACAAGGCAATGTAACTTTATTATCAATTCAAGAAAATCTATATCAGATTTGTTTAAAGTGCCAGTCTGTTTTGAAGAGAGTATTGACCTTGAAGGTACATTTCTATATTATGCTGTATTTGATACAACAAGTAAAATAGACTCTTTGTGTCAGGGGTTTTGACAGATGCTATGGTCATTGGAGTTGGGCAGGAGAGAGGATTGTAGAAACCTAGGCTTCCTCTTTTAGCCACCATTGATTGCTCTCTAAGTTTAAGTTTGCTTACTTTATCTTGATTTGTCTTTATTTCCCCAGCCTTATGTTTGTAATACAGAGACTATCATTATCTGTTCATCTGAAAGTCAACCCAACATTCTTTATTTTTATTTATTTATTTTTTGAGAGGTTTTTGCTATAGGGTGCATGTGCTCGCCAGAAAGACAGAGAAAGACAGAGAGACAGAAAAGGAGAAATCACCCCCCCAGGGGGGATGGTCACACCACGATCCCTTCTCCTCCATTATCCTCTCAGGATCTTGGGCACACACGCACACGCACCTGGTGTGAGTTTAGGCCATTGGTCTGGGACTCGATCCATTGTCGACTACATGGGAGTCCAGTGATGTAGCCATTATGCCATCTGCTGGTCACAAGTTCTCTAGTCTTTAAAACCACATTTTATGGCCTCAAGAAGAGCAGTCAGGATACAATAACAAAAATACGATATTCATGTCCAAAATAACATAATGAAAAGGATAATTTGTTACAAACACTTTGGCCAAGTAATTCATTCTTTAAAATTTTTATGTTAATCATCTACAAATTATTCCTTTAATCATAAAATAATTTGTGTAAACAGCTTGTGTTTAAACTGACTGATATTATTATTTAAAAACTATCAGCATATTTCAGATTTTCATAATATAAAAATTTATAAATGATACAGTAGATTGGAGTGAAAGAATAATGACTTCCAGAGACATCTAAGCATAATCCCCAGAATGTATGCAGGTATTACTTTATATGGAAGAAAAGATTTTTCTAACATGCTTAAAGGCAGAGAGTTTGAAATGAGTGTTTATTTGGAAATCCATGCACCCAGTCATTTGGAGCATGTTTAAGGACTTGCAGTTCTTTATTTGAAAGTTGGCATATTAATTTCCTGTGGCTGCTGTAACAAATTACCACTAACTTAATGGCTTCTGACAACACACATTTATTCTCCTATGGTTCTAGAGGTCAGAAGTCTACAAAATGCATTTCGCTAGGCTGAAAATCTAGGATAATGTTGATGTTACCTCTCAAGACTTTAGAGAAGGGACTCTTGTATTGACTCGTGTTCTCTTCCTCTATTTTTAAGTTCAGCATCATGGCATATTCAAATATCTTTTTTTTTTTTCTTCTTATCCCTTTCTCATTTCTCTTCTCTTACTCTGCTTTTGTCTTCTAAGAATGGATGCAATTGCAATTAGGGCCAATTCCAATATTCTAGGATAATCTCCCCTTCTCAAGATCCTTAACCACACCTGGAAATATCCCTTTCCAAATAAGGTAACATTAACAGGTGCTGTGCATTATGACCTGCTATTGAAGCCATTAGTCAGTCTATTATACATGTAAAAAGAAACATTTATCTCCTTTCCATATTGATTTTTTTTTCCTTCGTTTCTCTAAAAATCTATTCATTCTATCTGTGTGCTTGTCTCTCTATGTCTAATACACCTTGAAAATGATTACACAAGAGAATATAAGGTAATGAAGTGATTATACAAAAATTCTCATACATGTTTCATGATAATTTCTCTATGTGTCTCTATAGTGAAACATCAAAACTTACTCTATGAACTTTGTAGCTCTTATTTTGGCAGAAAATTATTTTCTAAGATGGGTTCTCACAGTCCCAATCTCTTTGCCTCTACTTTTCAGCTAGAACTACAGGAGTGGACCACCATGCCTGGCCCCTTTGGTTTTTGGACAGAGTCCTTCTATGTTGCCCATGCCATCCTTGAACTCAAAACCCTCTTGCTGTTAGCTTTAAACACTCTTGTCTCAGTCTTCAGGGTTATAGCAATTATAGGCACATGCCGTCATGCATGGGTGACCTTTAGTTTGAACCAGGAATTGAACTCAGGTCTTTCATGTGGTCACAGAATACATAGCACAACATCCTATCATGCACCAGTATGATTGGACCTTGCCAAAAAACTCTTTAAAAGCAGAAACTTCTTTGATATTCTCCTAATTCTTAGGTCACAGCACACACCTGAAAATAGATGATCATTATTTTTTAATTGATTTGAGACAGTAAATTTAATTCAGTGACTACTGGTCTCAAAACTTTATTGAATACATTTATTCCATTACTTGAAGGAAGTAATTCATTTGCCCTAGAATAGATTTATGAGGATGGCATAAATAGTCTAATATTGTAGTTTTGTGGTTGTTCTGTTTCTTCCCATTGGAAATAAAATAAAAGGCTACACTTTGAGAGACCACTTAAGACAGACTGAGCATTCTAGTGAAGATATTGCTTGAACCGGATAGTGTTTGCACACATCAATTTGTGAGAAGAGTCATTGTCTAGAGTAGTGAGAATTATGTATGCTATCTGAGCTCACTCAGGGCCACCACCTTGGACAACTCCAGGGGCAGCATTCTCAGTTAAATATGTGTGTCTATGTCACTAGTTTCCCTGGAGCCAGGTGGTACATCCTGAGGACCATACATAATGGGCTTACAAAACAAACCCCACTGTTTTAAACTGGAAATTTATTTAATGGCCTTTTATAATGGAAAAGTAGGTTTGATGGTGGAGGGCACAAAGGAAATGGGTAAATTTATGTTATAGAAAAGACTTGGGTGATATAATATGTAACTTATGTTTAAAGAAAGGAATACATTCATAATCCTCCATAAATATTAAATAGCAGGCCTTGTAAGGGAAAAGCACCTGCAGAAAGTTTCTACTTGCAGAAAACTGATTCCAGTATTATTGGGCTGTTGGAAAAGTTATGACACATTTTTCCATAGAAAAGCAAGTTGTGACTTTTCTGGCTACCCAATATTTGTGCAGTTCATTATTAATCCTCCTCGACATTGCTGTATCGTCTGCATGGTATGCCAGACATTCTGGTGAAAAACCTATATGCAAATGGTAGGATCTCTTCATTCCTACTTAAATAAGTCCCAATTTAATAGAATTTACAGAAAGGCACATATGATAGTTCTGAGTTAAGTAAACATTCTAAAAGCCACTTCTTCTAAGAATGTACCACCTATTATCTACTCTAATCAAAATACCATATTTGCATTTTTATTTGTGTATATTGACTGTATGGTTGTCATATACATTATTTAATTTCAGAAATGTTACTAAATATTTAGCAAGTTCTTATGTCATCTTTTTCCAGAATAAAACACTACTTTATCTTACAATTCAAATAACATTATGAAGTGAGTTATTTTTTAACAATGTTAGTTGCTCGTGTTTGTCATTAGTGCAGTTGTCTGACTGGCTTTGAACGTTACAATGGCACTGGCTTTAGACAGTTCCTCAGGGCACGGACTGTGTCTGCTCAAATTGCTTTGTGCAGAACACAGGTGGCTGAGTAATAAACACTTTTTGCTGATGTGATGTCTTGTATTGAAGACAAAGCTTCTGATTACTTAGTGTTTTGAAATTAGTTTTTAAAGATGCATCAGGAATCCAATTAGTGTATAATGTGTGTATGACACTGAAATGGTTTTGAAACAGATTAACTAGACCACATCACCCTGATCTCAAAAAGTTTTTATTTTAAAACCAATACTACAGGATGAAAACAAATGTGAACATTGAATAATAGTTTATATTTCTAAAACTTTAATGGAATATCTGATATTGTACAAAACAAGTATGCAAATGTGTGTATATTTTTCTTCATGTCTCCATTAGGCAGGTTAGAAATAGATCAATGATCCTCTCACAGGTATAATCAGAAGCAACCAGCATTAGCATGGCTTTGAATATTAGTTTGACCAAGATGTGTTCAACATAACTTTTTGCTTTTCTTTTGTCTCCTAGTAGAGTAATACTCCATTTAGAGAATAAAAGTGTCATTCTTTTTGGATTACCTGTGACTCCAGGCTTCCTTTGACAGGGTACAATTTACCCCTCAGGAGGCCTTTGGATTCTCCAGGTGTTATCATGGGCATAGCCAGTTCTTTTGTCCTGTAACCTTATAGCTCTCTTACCAAGTGTCTTTCCACTTCTCATCAAGCCTTTACCTGTGGCTTCAACATAGGGCAAAGGTTCATGTCTTTTTTTTTTTTTTTTTCCTCAATAGGGTACATGCTGCTGACGGAGGACCAAAACTGGTGTTTGATCATCAGCTGTGTATGGACTCAGAAAAACATATGATCACACCTTTGGCATAGAATTTAATGTAACGGCTGCATAAATGATAGCAAAGTCAGTGACCCACAATTCAGTGGGTCATTTGTTTTCAACTGTCAATGTCAAATCTGCAAATTTCTACAAGAGGACTTCTATAACGCTGGGCCTGAGGATAGCCAGACTCAGATAGGACACTGCATGCTTTCAAAAATATCATGGCTTGGAACCAGCAGTAATGTCTATGTCGCTGGACTCCCACGTAGTCGACTGCGGTTCGAGTCCCGGATCCCGTGGCTTAAACTCACGCCAGGCACGTGTGCGTGTGTGCCCAAGATCCCGAGAGGAGAAGGGAGGAGAAGGGATTGTGGCGTGGCCATCCCCCCCGGGGGGTGATTTCTCGCTTTCTGTTTCTCTGTCTCTGTCTGTCTGTCTGGAGAGCGTGTGCGCATAGCACAAACCTCTCCAAAAAAAAAAAAAAAAAGAAAAAAAAATCGTGGCTTATATGTATTTGGTTGCCAGCAATCAAAGACTTATTTGAGTGATTTCATTAGCTATGACATTGTGAAGAATAGTTGGTCTTGCATCTATAAGAATGATCAAATTGCAAAGGATGATTGAAATTAAAGTCTTTGAGAGGAAGAACCATGTCCAAGATTTGGTACTCAGCTTCTTTCTTGATTATGTTACACAGTTTCATCATTAATCTGTAAGGAATCTAGGAAAGTCTTGTTCTCCAAAATTTAGATTAGATGATCTCACCACAATAATGTAAGAGGTTATACATACAAATAGAGAATGGGAGTCTGCTGTAAGTGTTTTGGATTGCAACTCTATAGGTGGACAGTTTGATTGAGGACTGCATCAGCGTTGTATAGGAATCTTTATCATTGCAAGTTTTAACACTCATCCTTAATTCCTGACTTCAACCCTTTTTCCTTACTCTATTCCTAAATTAGGCTCATAAGGTAAATGGATATAGTTTTTATTATTTTTTAATCTACTGTCTTAGCAATTTTCACATGTACATACATTATGATCAATTATAGTAAAGATCACATATAATAGAGATCTTGATTTTTTTTTTCTGTCAAACTGAAGTTTTGTTCGATTACCTTCTCCTCAACTTCCCCCACCCCGCCCAAGTCCCCCAACATCTGGTAACTTCCATTTTACTCTCTGTTTCTGAGTTTAATATTGTTAGACTCCATGTAGAAGTGAGCGCCTTTCTTGAAACTATCTGTAAAGCAATCTGAGGTTTCCAGAAATGATTCATTTATATCCCTGATATAACAGAGCTTCATTTTGTTCCTTTATTGATTTATTCCTTTCTTTTTCAAAAACAATATACTGATATCATAAAAATTTCCAGCAACAAAGAAATGTATAACATATAAAAAGTTCTTTTGTTTTCCCCACCTATTACCTCAGCAATGGCTAAAATGAAGAGTTTACTGTGGAATATTCCATTTTTTTCTAAATGCACACACAGAAAAATACATGTACAGGCTATGCAGTCTATCTGTTTGCAACTACAAATGACTAATAAAGGACCAAGTTTGGAACCAGCAGTTAGCGTAATGGCTATGTGGCTGGACTCCGATGTAGTTGACTGCAGTTTGAGTCCCGGACCTGGCGTGTGTGTGTGTGTGTGTGTGTGTGCATGCCCAAGATCCCAAGAGGAGAATGGAGGAGAACGGATTGCCACATGGCCATCCCCTGTGGGGGGTGACTTCTCGCTTTCTGTCTCCCTGTCTCTGTCTTCCTGGAGAGTGCATGCATTCTATAGCAAAAACCTCTTCCCCCCCCAAAAAAAAATATTTTTTTAAAAAAGGACCAAGTTTTTATCTCTTTTTTCCCTAAATAATAATGCAGTGGGCATGTTTCCATATCAGCACATGAGTATCTACTTCATATTACAAAGCAATTATGATTCAAATGAAGCAGAATTGCATTTGTAAAGGAGATTACGTTGTTATTGCTTGTTTGACATATTTATATTATTGACAGGATTGAAATATTTGTTATTGATTGTTCTTACCTTGTAATGTAGTATTTTTAAGAAATACTTTTATTTATTATTTTATTGCATCTTTCTCCAGGTTGTGAAGTTTATTTCTAAGTTTCAAGTTGACTTATTTTCCTGTTTACATTGTGTGTGTTCTTCTAGCTGATTATCGCTGGCATTTGGGACAGCTTTTATCTTGGTATGTTTCTTTATATCTGGCTATTTTACTAAATACTCATTAGTTTTATTAGTTTTTAAGTAGTCTTTCTGCATTTACTAGAAATAGAAATATATTATGTGCAACTAATGACAAATTAGTTTTTTTTTTTCCTTCTTAGTTTACCAAGTTAGAAGTTCGCCAATCCTAGATATAAAATTGCCCTCTGGGTGCTTCAGCTTCAAGCACTAGTGAATGCAGCTAAAGATGGCCAGGCAGCCATGGATTAGCTTCTTATGAATGTGAAAATGATACAGATAACAGAACTATTAAGTAAACGCCCCTTTTATTAACAACGCTTATTTCTGCCTTAAAGTATTGTATGCTAAGAAATCGTATTCTAAAGTGTAAATAAAAGTTGTGATTTCTAGTGTTTATGTTAAGAACTAAAATCATAGAGAAAGCTGTGTACTAAAAATAAAGCAAACACCATGATAAGAGCTAGGATGCAAAGTTCCCCAGCAAGTGTAATGTTTTGAAAAGAAACAAACATGCAATAAACATCACTGACAAAAATCTAAGCAAGTAGTAGAAAGGTAGGTCAAAAACGCATGAGAAAATGGTACGTAGATTCCAAAGGTGTTCAGCTTCATTTTAAAAGCAGGATAATTTTCAACTTCAACACTCGTTTTTTCATTCATCTTTATCAATTTAAAGCATATTTGTGCTAAATATGAGTGCATTTATTTAGATATATTCTTTAATTTCTTAACTGTCATTACCAGGAGAGACCTAAAAGTTCACTGAAATATCCTGGACTCACTATCATAAAAATCAGTTACAAATACTACTTTAATGCTGACTTAATCTTTATAAATAATGCATTTATTTTACCCTGCTACCGCTAAATAATTTAAGAACAAATTGCCAGATTGAAAAGAGTTACACCACTAATATCCTTTCAAAAAATTAACAGTATTCATTTTATCTTTAAAAATATTTTATGAAACATTTTAAACAACTGATAAGTTTAGAGAATATTTTTTCAGACAGCAATGTATATACATATTGATGTGTCTAAATATTTTGTCATATTTACTTCTCTTTTTATTCTAGGTTTTTGCCTTAGGGTGCATGTGATTGCTGGAGAGAGAAATAGATGAACAGTGAGAGGGAAAGTGAAAAATCACCCCAGCAGGGATGGTCATGCTGCAATCCCTTGTCCTTCATTCTCTTCTTGGGATCTTGGGCATGTATGCACAGATGCCTGGTGTGATTTTCAAGCCACCATATCTGGGACTCAAACCATGGTTAGCCAGGTGGGAATCGAGCAACATAACCACTATGTCATCTACTGGTTCCTACTTCAGTTTCTTAAGGAAAAAAAAAAAAAAAAGATGAAATTACAACCCCTGCTCTCCTGCCCATCACATTATTTTCCTCTTTATCTTGAAATAATGAATTTTATGAAGCTGGTGATTACCTTCCATCTGCACATTTAAAAACCTTTAATAAGTGGGACTGGCAGGTGGTGTGGTGGTTAAAGTGCTGGACTCCCACATGACCAAACACGGTTCAAGTCCTGGACCTGGTGGCTTGCTTTCTCACTTTCAATCTCAATCTCTCTCTTTCTCATTCTGTTCTTTTCTAGTAAAATTAAAATAAATAAATAAAGTTAAATAAAATAATTATTTAAAATATATTTAGTAAATATGCATGTCTCCATAAGAAATACTGTTTTGTACACTTTTAAAATATGCACAAAATTAAATTATATTGGAAACCAGCAGTTAGTGTAGTGATTATGTCGTTGGACTCCCACATAGTCTACCGCGGTTCGCGTCTCAGACCTGGTGGCTTAGAACTCACACTGGGCACGTGTGTGTGCGTGCCCAAGATCCCGAGAGGAGAATGGAGGAGAAGGGATTGCAGCGTGACCATCCCCCCTGGGGGGTGATTTCTCGCTTTCTGTCTCTCTGTCTCTCTCTGTCTGTCTGGTGAGTGCACGCGCCCTATAGTGAAAACCTCTCCAAAAAAAAAAAAAATTAATTATATTGTTAAATATTTGCATTCTGTCTCTTTAAATTCTTTTGGAATTTGT